AGACCCGGTTAAGGGAGGTACAACCTGTAATGTTGGCTCATAGGAGTGAACCAACCACTAAGTGGCATTGCAAGCAACCTTATAAAGCTTTCTCCTTAATATATCCCTCTGGATATTTGTACATCAATTCTCTGCTTCCTCCACCGCACAGGAAGTTACTTCCCAGCTATTTCAATAATACAGGCAACAATGCAATAAGCCCGCTTTAGATTTAGACCGCCTTAGCAGGGAGGCGGGGAAGGAGATTTCAAATCTCACTATCTGCAGCGCAACGCCCGAAACACCTCAAACTGATCTGCCCTGAGATAAACACGTTGATATAGAATCATAGAACCATAGAGCGGGAAGAGACCTCAGAAGGTCATCAAGTCCAGCCCCCTGCTGTAGGCAGGACCAATCCTAACTAAATCGCCCCAGCCATGGCTTTGTCAAGCCGAGACTTAAACACCTCTAGGGATGGAGACTCCACTACTTTCCTAGGTAACCCATTCCAGTGCTTCACCTCCCTCCTAGTGAAATAGTTTTTCCTAATATCCAACCTGGACCTCTCCCACCACAACTTTAGACCATTGTTCCTTGTTCTGCCATCTCTCACTACTGAGAACAGCCTCTCTCCATCCTCTTTGGAATCTCCCTTCAGGAAGTTGAAGGCTGCTCTCAAATCCCCCCTCACTCTTCTCTTCTGCAGACTAAACAAACCCAACCCCCTCAGTGTCTCCTTGTAGGTCATATGCTCCAGCCCTCTAATCATTTTGGTTGCCCTCCGCTGGACCCTCTCCAATGCATCCACATCCTTTTTGTAGTGGAGGGGGGGGAGGAGGAAGGGTCAGAATTGGACACAATACTCCAGGTGCGGCCTCACCAGAGCTGAATAAAGGGGAATAATCACTTCTCTAGATCTGCTGGCGATGCGCCTCCTAATGCACCCCAATATGCCATTCGCCTTCTTGGCTACAAGGGCACACTGTTGACTCATATCCAGCTTCTCATCCACTGTCATCCCCAGGTCCTTTTCTGCAGAACTACACTTGTTCATGAACCTTGATCCAGTTTCAAGTTTTTAACAAAGCTTGGAACTCACCAGCTTTTCAGAATTCGTGATTTTTGTAGCAAAAGCAAAGCATGGCTGAAATTAACCTAGTTTTTAAATCAGTGGGTTTAGAGATGGTTCATAACCTTTGAATGTGCAGTATGTGTGTTAAGCCTGGCAGGCATCCTGATCTTGGCAGCACAGTTCAAGTTCCGAAAGAGTTGCCCCACCTGTTGTCATAGCATTCCTACAGCTTGCTAGCACCACTGGAGAGATAAACAGACCATTGCAAAGTAAATGTCACAGGGGAAAACATCTCTTATAAAACACAGAGGGTTATATTGTATTTTAAGCTACAGTCCGTGCTGGAGTGATTAGGGGTTGCACAGCAGCTGGACTCCTCAGAAGCATTCCTCAAGGGGCCCTAGTAGAGCACAGTTTGGAGCGGGAGCTCTTCCATACATTAACAAGGTGCACTGTATGCTCATGCTTGATAGACTTCTCTCCATTGGCAGTTTGAACTACTATGGCACTTCACCTCTTCTTCCTTTGTGCGCCAGCATGGGGCTAGCTACAGTCTGACACATTAAAAACTCCTATATCTCCTGAACCTATTAGGAAAATTTCAATATACAACCTGAAAATTTTTCACTACAGGGGCATGTCGGGTTATTGATAAGTGTATCTATATAAATAAAGTTAACTGTTCTAAGTCCAAATGTCTTCTCCTTCCCTCTTTTGGGGTCAGCGTTCCAGAGTTGCGTTCTTCCAGCTCAGTCAACCACAGTAATTCATCACACTTCTCCTTCCCATTGCCATTTGGAGACATGGTCTCAAAACTGGCAGTGCAGACCACTATTTTTAAATACCTGACATTTTTCCTTCCACTAGGGTTAGCAGATGGTTTATCCAAAAACACTGAACACCCCCCTCCCAAAAAAAAAACCACTGGGGGAAAAAAATCTGTTGAGGAAAAAAAAGGGGGAGACCAAAGTTGTTGAAGGGAAAAAAAAGATCCCGAGAGTTGTTAAGCAAAAAAATAAAATAATTATTATTATTTTTAAAAAAGAGCATGGCCCCTTTAAGAAATGCTTTTGAGGCTTTTTGGCCCTAACAGGCTGCCGGCCATCTTGTCTCCTTGCTCTGATTTTGTCTAGAAAAAAAAAATCAGAAAATACCAGACATTTTAGGTGTCCATTTTCTGAATTTTTTTTACTGGACAGGAGGCGAAAATACCAGACTGTCCGGGTCAATACCAGACACCTGGCCACCCTACGGGGGAGAGGGACAGGAAGGGGGGGAGGCAGGCCAGAATTGCTGTAATACCGTCTAAGGACAACAACAAGAAAAAAATCAGGCGACAGAGGTTCTAACAGTAACAAAGCTGTTCTCATGGACCTATTGTGTACACGGACGTATCCACCTTGCAGCATAAGCAGTAATCCCAAATATTGTCTATATAGTGTGAATTAGTGAATGTTGCTCGGAGAATTGTATCTGAGCACAGGGGACTGGACTAGAAGACCTCTCAAGGTCCCTTCTAGTCCTACAAGGCTATGAGACTGCAATTCCTGTTTTTTAAATACAGTTAAGCAACATCTCATCGATGTTCTTGTATTTGGAGGTTTTGCTGGTTTTTAGCATTCCACTTCCCTCCCCGTTTTTAATTACAGGGGAGCAAAACACATACAGGATAACATTTAAATGCTTTCACCTCCATTCTTAGTCTGCACTTTGCTCTACCGAGAGCTGTGGGCCTTTCTCCTGACAGCAAGGTGGTATGAACAGCAGTGGATGTAGACTTGCCAACGCTCCGGTTTTCACCACAAGTCTCCCGCAATCACGCCTTATCGTCTGGAGGCTACCTCAGCCAAACCAGGAGACTGGGCACTAGCAGTGCAGTGCAGCAGCAGAGCGAAAGCAGGCTCCCTTATTGGCTTTCACTCTGTGCTGCTCCCGGAAGTGGCCAGCACCATCCCTGTGGCACCGAGGGAGGGGCGGGGGAAGGGCACAGAGGTTTCTGTGCGCCGCCTCTACCTGTAATGCCAACTCCATAACTCTCATTGGCTGGGAAATGTGGGGACATGTGGAGACCCCTGCCGAGGAGAAGCCACTGCCAGAGGGACGTGCCTTTGGCAGCCACACTATCTGGGGTAAAAGTGCCGGCCCCCTGTTCCCTCTCACACCCCACTGTCCTGCCCCAGCCTAGTTCTAGGATCCCACACCCAAACTCCCTCCTAGAGCCTGACCCCCCATCTGCATCCAATCTCCCTCCCACCCAGAGCCCCACCCCTCACCCCTCCCACACCCAGACTTCCCCCGAGAGCCCGACCTGTTCCTCCTCCCGCACCCAAACTTAGGCAGCTAGCCACCCTAGGTGGATGGGTCACACTAGCACCCCCTGTGTTAGCCCCAGAGGTGATGCACTGTTGCCACAGTAACAGAGAGAATAACCTAAGCCAGGGATGTCCCTCCCACCCAGAGCCCCACCCCTCACCCCTCCCACACCCAGACTTCCCCCGAGAGCCCGACCTGTTCCTCCTCCCGCACCCAAACTTAGGCAGCTAGCCACCCTAGGTGGATGGGTCACACTAGCACCCCCTGTGTTAGCCCCAGAGGTGATGCACTGTTGCCACAGTAACAGAGAGAATAACCTAAGCCAGGGATGGCCAACCCGTTCCAGACAGAGCCAAAATAGCGCGCATAACCCAGACTTCCCCCGAGAGCCCGACCTGTTCCTCCTCCCGCACCCAAACTTAGGCAGCTAGCCACCCTAGGTGGATGGGTCACACTAGCACCCCCTGTGTTAGCCCCAGAGGTGATGCACTGTTGCCACAGTAACAGAGAGAATAACCTAAGCCAGGGATGGCCAACCCGTTCCAGACAGAGCCAAAATAGCGCGCATACAGCATGAAGAGCCGGGGCAAAGGTGTTGAGCCACATCAGGCTCCCGCCGGCTGCCACCATCTCGAAGATGCCATTTTGAATGGCCAGATGGCTACCCTGCCACGGTGAGCACAGGGAACCGGGAGGTGGGGGCCGTTTTCAGGGGCGCAGGGGCAGCTTCGCGAGCCACACTTTTGGGGGAAAAGAACCGCATGACCTAAGCTGTTCATGTACACGCAGCCAGTGAGGGAAAGGGAATTCTCACACGTGCTGCTGTCGTCTGGCTGGAGGCATTTTCTGCAAGGCCGGGTTACGTGACCAGCAGCTCACATGGAAAAGCAGCAATTCAGGGCAGCAGCAACAGAAAAGCCGGCCACCCAGTGCCTTATCCTGATCCTACTGGGGGCCATGGCATTTTTGGCATCCCCTTTAATGGGGACAGGACTGGACACGCTGTCTTATCTCATTTGCAACCTCTTTCCTGTAGATTTTCCAAACAGCTGCCCAACACTCTCCTGGATCAGGTGGGCAACACTGCATCGTACTGCATCAAAGGTAGCAGAGCATCATTAAATGGCTATAAAGTTGGCCAATGTCCAGCAAGGATGCTTAGCAGTTACTTTAATAGCTCATTGCTGCTGCTATTTAATTCGTTTCCCACCCACATTCATTTGGCTTATTTAATGAGCCTAAACCCCCAACTCTTAACATGCTGAAAAACGAATTTCCTTCACTCCGCAATAGCCGGAAAGCATCAAGGGCATTTGCCAAAATTTAGAGCGAAAAAACTCTCCAAATAAGTTCTGGGTCACTAGGGCACATTTCAGCCAATTGTGAACATGTGCCCATGTAATCTTCACACTAGGGAGCACTGCCCAGGAGATTGCTGGATCTCAAGCTATGAAGCACAACATGAATGCTGAGAGCTCTTCTTGTAATAGACGAGAAAACATTCATTTCTGTGTGTAACGACTGTGCTGAGAGTAACAAGCTACAGGTCAAGCGGGAATGCTGCAGGTTCAATCACAGCTTCCCCCCCCATCACGGCACTGTCATGCTGCCCCTAGAGCCAAGCAATCTGCCTTGTGGGTTCCTCCTTGCTCCAGGGACATGCCCTGTGCTAGGTATGGGTTTCGCTTAGATATGCTAGCGGGTGTGTCTGGCTCCAAGGCTACGTGCCCCACACCACCTCCTCCTGCCCCTGGGGGGAGTCCTAAGAAAAATCCCATCCGTCACACACTGCTAGCCATGAACCAGGTAGCTGGTTCCAGGGGCGCAAGTTGGTACCTTGTGCGACCACTCTAGCCAATACAGAATATATTAGAACATCAGAACGGCCAGACTGAGTCAGACCAAAAGTCCATCTATTCCAGTACCCTGTCTGCCGACAGTGGCCAATACCAGACGAATATGGCAGAGGAGCAGAGAGAAACTGAAAGGCAAGTCTACGCTACAGTGCTCCGTCGGCACAGCTGTGCTTCTGCAGCATAACCGGTGACGATCAGGAAGCGCTCTCCTGTGGGCATCATTACTCCACCTCAGCAAAAAGTGTACGCTACGCGGGCAGGACAATATCTGTGTGATCAGCACAAAACTTGCCTCGCTCAGGGGGAGGGACTTTTCCACACTCTGGGGTAATGCAATTTTCATCAACTTCAGCAGCAGTGTACACGTGCCCTGAGTAGCGTCAGGTGATTTTGTAAAAACCCAACAGCCTGGGCACTCGGTGACAGGCCTATAGCACAGAGCGCGCCTTACCTGATCGGGATCATTCCTATCATAATGAGAGGAAATATCATCTTCATGTAGGGCAACGGTGACATCCCAAATCCGCAGAGGATGAGGAGCTGAAGAACCTGCAGGCCTGTGAAATAGTGGATCTTCCTCTGAGGGACTCTGCGAATGTAATGCGTTGGAGGATACGCCGTCTGTGAACGAGAGACAGAGGAGGTGTAAGACAGGCACAATGGTGGGGATAAAGAATAAAAAGTAAGCCCATCGAAGGCCCTACTTCAGGGAAACCATCACCACACAGCTATAAGGGTTCAAGTCAATAGGTAGCAAGTCCCTTCCTCTGAGTTCTCCCACAGCTGCCTCAGGTGCGGGAAGCAGCATCAAGAGTAGCTCTGTGAGCTCTCTGTACTGAGGAATGTCAAAGTATCACAGCATCTGTCCCCCTCCTGCCGCAGCAGCAGTCTCCCTGCTGCTGCGTTCCTAGTGCAGGGCACAACAGGAGCACTCCAATAGTTTGCTTGTTTGTTCCCCAAAGGGAGCACCACACTCAGCTATCAGATACTTCCTGGAGTTTTGAAAGGGGAGGGGCACATGCCAGCAGGGCAGCAGAGATCAAAACACTGAGCAGCTCCAACAGAGCAGGTATTGTGGGATACTGGCAGAAGACAGTTCTGTCGACAAAACAAACAGCAGAGTCTACGCTGGCTCTTCGTCGATAATAAGGAGGGGGGGGGGGGGGGAAAA